AAGATCATCTCGTTAGATTCCCGTCACTTTGAACGGGAGTCAAAACCGACATACGGTTCAAGAGTTATGAATTTTCGAAGTTTTCCGAAAAACTAGAATTTTGCCCAAAATCTGCTGCGGGAATTCTGCATTTTTGCTCGAAAACTCGACTGATTCAATTTATTTCTTCGAAACAAACACATACTCATACTCCCCTAACATATGGCATTGAATTAGAACCATCAAACGCGATTTCTACGACGTCCGATTTCAATCCGAATCTTAGATCCTCAAATCTCCAAAATGCCAAAACTTGTCAAATCAACCACATTTTATAAAACAAGCATACTCAATCACGGCTTAACATTACCCGACACAACTACGCAATCTACTCCGACTTTCGTCTGTAAAACATCGCTTCCTCACAAAATCTCAGATTAAGCAATTTCAGCCTCCAACTCCGACACAACTACAACAATGACCAACTCTTGAACACTGGTCAGATAATTCTTCTTACGTAGTTCAAGTTGCCTTAAAGCATAACTAACTCGCTGAAGTTACTTTTAACATATCTCCAAATCATATCAATAAAGCATCTCCAAACACCATCACTAGTCTTGTCGGGTTTGGCAACAATCAACACACGAGTCGTCGACAACTCTCTCGAAATTTCCAATCAAAATACACATCTCTGCACCTTCTTACATCGACCGACTCATCAAAACAATTCTTGAGCACTTAGCTCCACTCCAAACAATTCATTGCTCACGCCATCCAAGCTTGCAAGACACGTCTATCCCATCCAACACAATCCCGTCTACTATTAACAAGAGATTAGGGGTGATCAGTTCCTCAATTTATCAATAGGCAGCCGAAAATCATGATGGGGTACAAACCATCTTTGCCAAACTATGAGAGCATTCAACCACACACTGAGCCTTCACTCTGCACTTGCAGCATTCCGGAGAAACACATGCTTCTCCCCCACTTGAATCCTTCCCACTTCTGCAGACAAAGGCTAGACGACAAACATGTACCGGCAGTGTTTTCACACACATGCCGCATACAAGGGATTAAACAACAACATTAGACAACTTGGCCGGACGGACCGACCTGCTCTGATACCAATTGTAACACCCCGTTCTAACCCAACGCATATTTAAAATAAATCAAAATCAGAGTGCACGAATTTTGCAGGCATGACGACCGTCATGGAGTCGTGACGACCGTCACACGCACAAAAACTGAGACGCAACAGAGGTGTCACATATTCGACTTACAAAAACATACATTTCACCATTTAATTGGACAACATGCATTCAGTGATGATACATAGCACATAATCTTGGATGAACAACTAATAACAACTCACATAACATCTTAATTACATAGCAACATATTCATTTGCAGCGGAACATAATGCACTTTCAACATTTATGATAATCAACGTGATACCAGAAATTTACGACAGAACTCCATTAAAATTCAGCAAGTAATCATCTTGCTTATATTTAATACAACAACTAATTTCAACCATAAAATCCGCATTTCCGATCCATCGATCTATTGCGTACAACCAATATTTGGCACATTAACAAGCACCCAACTTAATAAAATACTTCATAAAATTCAGCAACAAGAAAATAAATAAGAGCAATAACAATAATCGTTCATCCCCCCAAGAGTGCTACGTATCAGAGCGACCAACGACAACTTAAACGACAAAGCGGAACTTCATTCCGAACTACCTGCAAATTACCACCAGAGGAGGTAACATACAACGTAAAGGGTGAGATATCAATAATATAACATAGAGCATGATAGAAAACATGCCAGAAACTCATCACAGCATTATAAGTTTCGAAATCATAAACATCATCGACAACAACTGCAACAATCCATATCTCACGTAAAACAACATTAATATACAACTAACATAATTATGCAACTTCATGTGACTCAACAATGCGACTCGACTGTGCATATGCATGTGGTACCAATTTGCCATCAAGGCCGCCAATACAGGCCATCGTAGAATTTGCCACAAGGGCCGCCAATACAGGCCATCGCAGAATTTGCCACAAGGGCCGCCAATACAGGCCATCGCTAATATGCTATGCCATGAAATACCTCTATTATGGACCACAACATCACCAACTATGCAACCAGGCATCAAGCCTACAACAAAACGTCCATAACAGAACACTGCTATTTCATATGCATCATATGTTCATCATCTCAACTATTCATGTAAAGGAACATTACAACATCGTATCAACAATTAGGGATTCAGCATATTATCGTAATAACAACATTACAGCGTTTTCTCACACAATTAATTACAAATCAATCACAACCAGGTAACTGCCCTTTTTGGACCAGTACCTGAAACTGGCGCCTTAGACCAACTCGGCCATCTTGACGTCCATTAGGGAAAACCATTAGAGCGTTATACGAATAACCGTATAGCATATTCGTTCTACGTATTTGCCCATAAGGAAAACCTTATAGCATCGCACTAATAACTACATAACACATTCATTCCTACATAGAAATCTTGTCCCATTAGGGAAACCTTTTCCTTAATATTTATCGATTAACGAAAACTATACCTATGACTCGATTCCCCACATGAATTCGATCATACTCCCGGTTATAGAATTGAACCCCACCCTTACCTTAGAATTGAGGTCAATTCCACGCTTTCCAATTCCGCTTCTGCTCTACGGTGATTTTTCTGCAACAATCTTCCAAATCTACCGATCGACAATTCTTCTCTCTTCCTTTCTCTCCATTACGTAACTTCTCTTTTCACTCTTTTCTTTCCCAAAATGATGTAATTGAGGGTAAAAGAGTCTACAGGAATATATTTTTGCTACAAATTCTCATTCCACCAGAACACGTTCAAATTCTGCATAACTGCAGTTTTTGCTCGTGTGACGGTCGTCAGACTCCTGTGACGGTTGTCATAGTAGCAAAATTTCATTTTTTCCATATAGAACATCTCTTTAGCTTTCCAACGCTTCGAACGGGGGTCAAATCCGACTTACGGATCAAGAGATATGAATTTTCAAAGTTTTCCGACAAAACCCGAATTTTTCCGACAAACCAGAAATTTTCCAACATCCTCGTACGACTATGACACAACGAGATACGGCAAAAATCACGATTAAATTTAATCGAAATGAAACGGGTGTTACAACTCTCCCCCACTTAAAAGAATTTCGTCCTCGAAATTACCTCGATTTAACCAACTCCGGATACGACTCTCGCATCCCAATCTTCCAAATTACCTCTACCAAAGAATCCTTTTACCTCGAAGTTGCTTCTCGTCCATCAACTTGAACTAGCAATGCCTCAACAATCAAATCATCCTTCACTTGTACACTATCCATCTGAATCAATGTACTTCCTCAGCTTGGACACATGAACACATCATGCAATTCCCACAAGCGACAGCGGTAAAACAACCTAGCATGCTACTTTCTCCAAGCTTCCGCTGCGCCACTCTGATACAGATAAATAAAACATAGTGGTATTTCCGAGACCTCACGCTCGACCAACACCAGTTACTAACGTAACTCTCAAAACACATCTTATCTTGGATCCTTTTAATCTTTTCAATCGTCTCTTACATAATCTCATGTCCGAGCACAACACTCTCGCCGGACATACATCAACATAACTCAACAAATCCTCTACATACTGAATAGTTCTCTCTGTCTGCCCATCCGTCCACGGATGCTAGAAAGAATCCAACTTCGACATGACATTCAAACATCTGCAAAACTCTCCTAAAATCTCAATGAAGAACCCAGGTTCCCATCTGACACAAAATTCGACGGCACCTCATACAACTTCACAACTTCATCGATACACATCTCAGCTAGCTTCAGCATAGACTGGTTCTCCCTCATTGGTAGGAAATGGGTTAATCTTGTCAATTCATTCATAACCAACCAAATCAAATCATATTCCTTCAAATTCTTTGGAAAACCCGTCACAAAATCCATGGAAACACTATCCAATATCCATTCTAGAGTTTCTCACGGTTGCATCAACCCAACAGGTTTCTGATGCTCAACTTTCTACTTCTGACAAGTCAAACATGCATACACAAGTCGTGTTACATCACGCTTCATACCAGGCCACCAAAACAGATTCTTCAAATCACTATACATATTTGTCTCTCCCGGATGAATACTCAACTTACTCCTGTGACTCTCTATCTATGGCCACCAAAACAATTTCCTTAAATTTGGCCGCATCCTCATGGCACTTGGATGGATATTCCATCTATCTCAAGGCACTTCTTCAAGAGTATTCTTACTCCACTCAACAACATTTTTCTGCCCAGGACACTTCGCTAGGCGAATCTCTCGGCGAACATGACAGTCCGAATTTCTATTTTTGACCGTTAAACGACTTCCGTATGTCCGATTTCGATTCCCTAAAAAGCTGCGATCTTAGAATTCGACGTACAACAACCATTTCACACTTAGGAAACCATCCGACACAGTTTCAACTTGAAATATTTTAAATCTCAAGTACACCAATATTGCTTTCCACGCCTAACCTCTTCTCACAATCACCAGAAATCACTGTCCACCCTCTATTCGACTTCACAATCTGCTGCCTTAGAATACACCCCAGACACAAGTCTCAAAACCACTCAATCAAATTGATTCCTCGACCATCCAAACAGACATACAATATGGAGTTCTCAATATCGGACTAGTTTCCGTAACTAAGTCGACCACAAACTCCTGTGACGGTCGTCATAGTAGCAAAATTTCATTTTTTTTCCAGATAGAACATCTCTTTAGCTTTCCAACGCTTCGAACGGGGGTCAAATCTGACTTACGGATCAAGAGATATGAATTTTCAAAGTTTTCCGACAAAACCAGAATTTTTTCGACAAACCAGAATTTTTCCGACATCCTCGTACGACTATGACACAACGAGATACGGCAAAAATCACGATTAAATTTAATTGAAATGAAACGGGTGTTACAGGGAGCATGATAGAGAAAGTGGAGGAAGTAAAGTTTGAGGTTCATAGGCATTTTGCTAGAAAATTTAAGGTCATGGAAGGTGAGGAATCGTTTCTTGAGGGCATTACTTTTGACGGCATTAATGAAGAAGATATGATTTTTTTGGAGGGTCCTTTTCTTGAGGAGGAAATTAAGGAGGCTATTTGGGGATGTGGCATTTCAAAAAGTCTGGGTCCGGATGGATACTCTTTCTTATTCATCAAAAGATGTTGGAGTTTCTTGAAGGATGACTTCTTTCGTTATTGCAATTACTTTCATTCGGGTGGTCGTATCTCAAAGGCGGTAACATCTTCTTTTTTATCTTTGATTCCTAAATCTACTAATCTGGTTACTCTTGATGATTATAGACCTATTTGTTTGGTTGGTTGCTTGCATAAGATTGTTTCCAAATTGTTAGCAAGTAGATTGAAGAAAGTTCTGGACCGTATTATCTCGCCTTGTCAAAGTGCGTTTGTGCCGGGTAGATTAATGCTAGAAGGTGTTTTGGTGGCAAATGAGTTGGTGGATTATGCTCAGAAGGAAAGAAAAGGGTGTGTTCTTTTCAAGGTGGATTTCGAGAAAGCATATGATAATGCAAGTTGGAATTTCCTTAGATCTATGTTAACGAAGATGGGCTTTGGTTTGTTGTGGAGGAAATGGATGGATAATCTTATTTTTCAAAGTAAGATGTCTGTTTTGGTGAATGGTAGTCCCACTAAGGAATTTGAGGTTGAAAAGGGTTTGAGACAAGGAGATCCCTTATCTCCTTTTCTCTTTGTTATTGTGGCGGAGGGTCTGGCGGGTCTTGTTAGGAAGTCTCAAGAGCTTGGTGAGTTTGAAGGCTTTATTGTTAATGGTAAGTGCATGGTGGATTTACTTCAGTTTGCGGATGACACCTTGATTGTGGGGGAAGGTACGTGGAAGCATGTGTGGGCGATAAAAGCGGTTCTAAGAGCCTTTGAACTTGTATCGGGTCTAGGTATCAATTACCACAAGAGTAAGTTGATTGGTGTTAATATTAGTTCGAATTTCTTGGATGCGGCTTCCTTTGTGTTATCTTGTAGGAAGGAAGATAGTAGCGTTAATTTCCTTGGAATCCCCATTGGGTCCAATCCGAGGAAAGCATCTACTTGGAGTCCTCTTTTGTTCAAAATTAAAAAGAGACTCTTGGGGTGGAAGAATCGTTTTTTATCTTTGGGAGGAAGGATAACTCTTCTCAAATCCGTCTTGTGTTCTTTATATATCTTCACATTATCTTTTTTCAAAATGCCAAGTGCGGTGTCTAAAGAAGTTAATAAGATTTTAGGCGATTTCTTGTGGGGAAGTGTGGAAGAGAGGAGGAAAATTCATTGGGTGAGTTGGAAGAAGGTGTGTCTCCCAATTGATAAAGGGGGCCTAGGTATGAAATACTTGCCGGATTTCAATGTGGCTCTCCTTAGCAAGTGGAGGTGGAGAATTCTAAAAGGTGGAGATGAAGTGTGGCTTCGTTTATTGAAGGCTCGCTATGGTGACATTACTTCCGTCATATTAAGCAAAGGTACGCATTCTCTTGTCTCTAACTCTTCTCCTCCTCATTCTACTACTTCATCCCCTTCTTCTTCTTATTGGTGGAAAGACCTTATTTCCATCGGTAAATTTAGCCATTTGGATTCGATGGTTCGTTTGTGCAAATTCAAGATCGAAAGAGGTTTCACCACCCCTTTTTGGGAAGTGAATTGGACGGGTAATTTTTGCTTGATGGACAAGTTTCCGAACTTGTATAAAGAAACTAGATTGAGATTGGTTTCGGTAGCGGGTATGGAAGGATGGGTCAATCATGATTGGAGGTGGGGTGATATGGGTTTGGCCCCGGCGGAGGTTTCGGGAGGCAGTGGGCCGAACGGGCAGGAAGTAGGGTCTCTTTGTGAGCTGTTACAAGCGTTTGAGCCAGAGAGTAGTGGTTCGGACACGGTTTCTTGGGTTGGAGAACCGGACAGTCTTTTCTCGGTTGCTTCGTGTTATAAATTTTATGAGTTTTTTCGGATCCCGTTGGGTCCTCCGAATATTCATGATGACGCTTTTCGATTGATTTGGAAAGTTGAGGTCCCGTTCAAAATCAAAGCTTTTGCTTGGAGGTTATTTAATAATAAACTCCCAACAAAAGATTTGCTAGCGGCTAGAGGGGTAGTTTTTTCCGGTGAGAATTCTCTTTGTGTGTTTTGTGGGATTCACCCGGAAGATTGTGTTCATTCTTTTTTCAAGTGTAATGTTTTGAAGGTGGTTTGGCGGAGTATAGCAAATTGGATTGGGAAAAGTTGGAAAGAGGAAGATGATTGTTTTTGTAGTTTTAAGGATTGGTTCATGTATTGTAAAGATAACAATTTCAAGAAAGGAAAATTAGGTGTTGTGTGGTTAGCATTAATTTGGTGCATTTGGCTCATGAGGAATGGGTTTTGTTTTCGGAATGAAGCTTGGAATGTGGATAGTTTGATTTGGAACGTGAAAATCTTGGTTTGGAAATGGAGGCCTATTGGTGAAATTACTTATTCCAATTGTTGTTTTTATGACTTTAGTAAAGAGCCCTTATTCTTTCTAAAGTAGGTCTTCAATTTGGTTTGTAATTTCATATTTTAAGGGTCTTGTCCCTTCCCTATTTTTGTAAGAGGTTTTTAGAGAACGCTTAGTTCTCTTTTATCAAATATATTGCTTGCTTAAAAAAAAAAATCTCTAAGTCAGTACATTTGTAATTTATTTTATATTTTAGTGACACCTTTATTTCTATTTTATTTTAAAATGCAAAACAAATCAATTTTCACTTAGAATTGATTTGTCAAACTGATGTAGATCATTAAATATATTTAACTTATATTTTAAATTTCTCTAAGACTATACACCCATAAATAATTGTCATTTAGTGGCCCTTTAAAGTTTTTTACACTAATATATAATTATAAAACTATATAATTATTTGCATTTCTTAAAAGTATATGTGGCTATATGCGATAGATTGTGACATTATCCATGTTTTGTGTCGAGGAATAGCAAAGAACGCCAAGAGAGCAGGAAGGGCAAGATAACACGATTAAACCAAACAAACACAGCTTCCAAAATAAAAACGACAATAGAAATTATGTAATGTCATTCATTAATATTAATATAGGAAAAAAACAAATAATGAAACTTTTGTCACAAACAAACAAGCATATACTAGTATAATCTAGCAAATGCAAAAGGAACAATTATTTACCAGTAGCAACTATAAAAAGGTAGTTTTTCAAAGTTTCACGTAATTCAAAGCCTACAAAGTATTGAAATCTATGGAAGAATCATGAGAAATCACATTTCATTTTGTAGCTATTAAAAGCAAATGTTGAGCAACATCACATAAGTAAATAGTCCAGACTAATTAATAGGAGCCTACAGTCTAATTTATATAATTTATATAGATTCAGACCCGGTTACACTTTTTTTTAAATAAAAAAAATCTAAATTTTTTATAATTTTATTTAACTAAGGAGATTAAATCAAGCCATAAAAAAAGTCTTTTAAGTATATTAAATGAAATTATTTATAAAAAAATTAATAAAATTATTATTATTATATTATATTGTATATTTTAAATTAAAATACGAAAAATAAAACTTAGTTATTTTGAACAACTTATAAAAATAAATTGAAAAAACATTATAAACAATGTCATAAGTTGTAGTCATAAGTTTTTTTTTATAAATTCTCTCGAACAAATAGTATCACCAAATTTATATTAATATTTAAATTCAAATGAGACAATGAAAACAAATACTTAGTCTCAATAATATTTTAATTTGTTAGTCTATTTAACATTAGTTGAATTTCTTATTTACAAACATTTAAATAAAGTAAGCTTTTAAATAGGATAGTAGGTTAATCAAGTCTTTGAGAAGGTCGACTTAAGCTTAAAAATAAGTCTATGATAAACTACAAGACAGACTTAAACTTTAAATTTTTTAACAGATCAGACTCAAACTTGACAAAGTTTAGCTCAATCCAGCCTATTTTCACCTTTACTCGTGTCAAATACTGCTATGATTTTGGATCGGTTGTTAGTGTCCAAGCAAACATGGTTGGACACTTGAACTTGTTATGTTTCACATTGTTGAATTTTTCACTATTCTACCCTTGTTTAAAATCAAAAATCCTATAATAACCCAGTTTGAAAATTATTTACTGGATTGTCCTATTTTTGTGGAAGCTCGTCCACTGAATGGGCGAACGTGTGCAACGGAAAAAATGGTCTTTGTAAGTTCGTCCACTGAAAGAGGGAATTCGTGAAAGAGAAAATGACCTTTATAAGTTCGTCCACTGAAAGGCGAACTAGTGAAAGAGAAAATAACTTTTTTTTCTCTGATTTTATTTATTTATTTAATGAGTTAATGATAAATAATTTAATAATATATTTAATAATTTACTAAATATATTAATGATTTATAAAATATATGTTAATGATTTATTGATTTACTAAATATATTTAATAAATATATTTAATGATTTACTAAATATATTAATAATTTACTAAATATATGTTAATGATTTACTGATTTACTAAATATATTTAATAAATATATTTAATGATTTACTAAATATATTAATGATTTACTAAATATATGTTAATAATTTTGTTTAATCAATTTTATTGTTGTAATTTAATCATGTTAAAATTATTAACATTTTTTATAATCTAATTTTATAATGTAATTATTATTAATTATTATTTTATAATTAAAATTATTAAAAATTATTAACATTATTTTATTATTATTAATTATAATAAAAATTATTAACATTAATATTTTAATATTTAAAATTAAAATTGTTAATAAACAATATTATTATATTTATCATTAAATTATTTATCATTAACTCATTAAATAAATAAATCATTAAATAAATAAATAAAATCAGAAAAAAAATATGTCATTTTTTCTTTCACCCATTCGCCCTTTCAGTGGACAAACTTACCAATGCTATTTTTTTTGCACACGTTCGCCCATTCAATAGACGAACTTTTACAAAAATAGGGCATTTCAGTAAATAATTTACATACTGGATTATTATAGGATTTTTGGTTTCAAACAAGTGTAGAATAGTGAAAGATCCCATATTGTCACCATTGCTTAGAAAAAGTTACTCCTATTAACTGTGAAGTATCCATTAACATCAACCACCTATTTTTGTGCTAGGAATTTAATTTATGGGGAGATGAACAGGTAGATCCCTTGAATATTCTCCTAGATTCCGTGAAACTATGAACGTGATGTTATGAATAAGTTCTGCGGTCCCAAAATAACTTTTTGGAAATATCATTGGCACATCCAGTGTTTTGTCCATGAGAGTGTCTATTATAGACTTATAGCTCTCGCATAGATTTTGTATTATTTTAAAAGATGGTTTAAAGTGAGGTTATCTTCACATATTTAAACATTCAACCAAAATCTAAGTAATATGAAATTCCTAACACAATTTTAACAATACCTTAAGCGAGAATAATCATTGATTTAATAAAAAATAAAAATAGTTGTCTCTTTTTTAAAGTATATATTGAAAAGGCATGCATTATGTGTTAGTTGGAGGTATCTTGGACTAAATGCTTAGGAGATTGCACTTCAGTAAAAGAAGTGGTGACATTGTATTACAACTTTTATGCTTTTGAATAGCTTTTTCATGTTTGTTTTCAACCCAAAAGGTGAATATTCAAAGGGGTCTTAAGTAATGAGACCCTCTTTTCCTTTCCTCTTCCTTCATGCATCTTGGGCATTTTTATTATTTTATGGATTTCATTCTTAAATCTTGGTATTTGGTCTTTGACCAATTAATTTAAAAGAATCAATTTTACCATTCACTATATGAAATTTCAATTAAAGACTAACTTTTAAGTTTGATATTTTAGTACGGATGATTTTAATCTTCACTTTGATATTTTAGTACGGATTGTTTTAATCTTCAATATGTAAATGATACTCTTATTTTGATTAAGGTTATAATTGAAAAATCTTTATACCAATAAGTCAATTCTTATCGTTTTTAAAATAGTTTCGGATCTACTCATAAACTGTAAGTTTAGAGTGTATTAATAAGTCAATTCTTAGCGTTTTTAAAATGTGTGTGTGTGTGTGTGTGTGAGAGAGAGAGAGAGAGATGAATTGGATTTAAAGATATTTTTAAGGATTTATGATATTTTTATAGTTTTTTGAAATTTTTCAGAATTGTGAATGGTGAACAAATGTTAAATAGAAAAGTAAAATGGAGTAAATAAAGTGACACAGAGAATTATGTTAGTTCCACTTTTTAGTCAAGGGTACATCTAGTCACCTCACACCCTTGTGAGAGATTTCCGTTATTGTTAGATCTTTATACAAGCCTATATCTAATTTCTCTATACAATCTTTTAACAACAATTAACAAGGCAACACCACTTTTTGATTTTAAAACACAAGAGAAAGAAACCTACTTTCTCTTGAACCACCACAAACTTGGTAAACAAGCAACAATACAATTTTACAAAGGATTTGAATAAGTATGAGTACTGCGAAATTCCAATGTGAATTTATTCCTTTTCAATATAACAATTTAGAATAAATAATCACAAATTGCTTAAGAAACCTTTATCAGGTTGTTTACCAGTGTTTTTGGTAAACAATCACGAGTTTGACAGTCTATGAGATTTACTCAAAAAAAATCTCCAAAACAATTTGTGCAAATGACTTGTGTGAACACATGTACGTGTGAATTGAATGCAGAGTATCAAAAGACTTTAAATGAAGTCAAGTTGTGATAAATGATAAGGTAAAATGCAGTAAATAACATTAAACAAGGCAAAATAAAAAGTACATATTCCATTTAAGGAAGCAAAAAGACTAAGAAAAAAAAGGATGGACGCAGACACATACATGTTTCTCACTCAATTGTTTCGCTCTTTGACTCAGGTACTTCAATAGTATGAAGAGTATGTATGAACTTTTGCGACCCTTGATCCTATGTATGAGTCTGTTATTTATTCTATTTTCAAAGTTACTATCGACGACGATTATGACCACTAGGATATTTGTTGCATTTGCTCCACGTTCAATCCTTCAAGTTCCCGCTAGTGCTTGTTAGAACAAGATTTGGTTCTGTATCTGGCCTTATATTTTGATGATAACAATACATAGTGCTTTAGAGAAAAATTTATACCCTAATCAATTTTTTTAGTGTGCAGATACTAGACTCAAGTTCTGACTCTGAATGAATGACATGTGATGTCATCAGATTATGAACCTAGTGCACTTTGACTCTGAGATACGTGGTTTACAGGATATTCAAGCGCTGGATTTTGTACTTCAACGCTTCTGATTCTACGTTCACCCAAAGCTTTTTAACTCTGATGATTTTGAAGCTGGTATGCTATAAAGCCCTGCTCTCACACAACTCGGAACCGTGTCACTAGACCTTGAAGACCAGGTTTTGAAGAACTATATCAAGACTTTGAAGACCAAAAGTTCTGAAGATTCTCTGAAACAAATTCTTATTCTTCTCTATGCATGCTTTATCACCTACTTATCAGAAGCGTAACACCCTAGCCCTGC